AAAATATAAAAAAAATGACATATTCACTTCCCTATGTTGTCACTCTATTTATTGTTATAAAGAAAAAAAATTTATTGCATTTAATAAGTAGCGTATTAATGCATATAGAAATGGGAGTGCCATAGCATTTAATAATTAGTGTTTAATAAGTAGCATATTAATACATTTAGAAATGGGAGTAGCATTTAATAAGTAGCGTATTAATACTTAGAAATGGGAGTGCTGCAGTGTATTTTTAGAGGTGCTTGCGTTCAATAAGTAGCATGTAAAAAAATGGTAAGGGTGCTTGAGTTTAAAAAAATAGGAGTGCAGCGTAGAGTACTAATGTTGTGAATAGGTTAGGGGGAATTGTCCCACATCTAAACTTGGGAGAGTAAATTGATGATATAAAAGCCACTATTTTATACAAGTCAAAAGCATATTAAAGAGGACGTGGGATGCATCAGTTGCCTTCCACAATGCCTGTAGGGAGAAATGATGCGTAACGCATGGCGTGTGAAGAAGGGTTGGAAGTAAGGCAGTGGGCAGAGAGACGCGAGGCGTTGTGAGGGTTGAAGTTAGGCAGTGGGCAACATGTGGCGAGTAGGGTATACCCGGTTCACTGTGTAGAATCGACGATTTTGCCCGATTCACTGTTGTGTTTCGCCGATAATCAGCGATTCTGCTCTAAACACGCCCGACTTCCAATATTGTGTGGGAATCGGCACGGGGTGGCCGATTCCCGTGTCGACCTGGGCGATTCCGGGTCAACTCGCCAACTTTTAAATCCCTGCTTGAAATTATAGGGAAGATGAAGGATACCTCATTAGTAATAACTTTGTAAATAAGGCAAATACTATTAGAAAAATTATCTACAACCACTCCATTCTCCTCGAACTTGTGAAAAAACCACAAAATGGAAGTGAGTTAATGAACCCAGCAATAATGAGGTTTGATAAAAACTTCCCCGCTGAGTATTTCGTACCAAAAGAATGGCTTCTGAATGGTCACCTAAGTGCCTGGTTGAATTTGATATGAGTCACAAAAAGTAGTCAGAGGGCCATGGTAGACTCGATTTTGAATAGCAAATTTTGAAGCTCAATTACCAATGCAATTTGAGTAACACAGCCATCGGTGAAGGTATTGAGGATCGTTGGCAGTGATACAAAATTACTAAGCCTTAAATGCGGTAATACCAATGAGGCAACGGACAAGGCCAAGAGGCTATTGTTGCCGCTGTCAAGCATAAGAACTCCAACTACAAGAAGTTTTGTGAGATTATAGATAAGAGATAGGCTAGGCAGTTGCATCCCCTTATACATAAAACTGTTTATTGGCTCAACTAAAATTTCTTCTACAAGACTACAACAACAAAGCCACATTTTCAATAAACTCTAAGATTTCATAACATGAAAGAGATGACGTATCCTGGGAGGCATATGCAAGTGAGGATTGCGAAGGATATGAGTTCATATGAGAAGAAACTAGGAGATTTGGGCAAACGATGGCAGTGAACACGTGATTATTCCCTCCTGCATAATTCATTTTATTAATTTCTTTTTGCTCTCTCAACGGTTTATCTAAACTATCTCAAGTTGTTTTCTGATTTTCTCTACTATTCAATTTTTTATCTGAATGGTGAGAATGATCTCAATCTATAGAAAGAATGCGATTTCTATAAGGCCTAGGCTTTATGCAAATAAAGTAAAGCCTCACCTCGAATCCTCATTTGGAAAGCACTTTAGTCATTGGAAATCTCCATGATGGCTCTAAAATCAATTTTCAACACTAATTGTGAAATTTGAAGTAAAAAATGGTAAAGATCTAACAAATCCGTGAACACTTTTTTTAGGGGGAAATGGACAAACTAGATAATGTGTTACAATATGCACTATCTCTAGACCTTGAAATCCTAATTTTTTTAAAAATCTATAATGCTGAAGGTCGAGATGATCAATTTGAAGGTTTTCCAACGTCAGAACTGCAATTTTCAATGAGCTTTGAGATGAGGCTTGAGTTATTTTGATAGAGCTGCAGCCCTATCAATATATTTTCCCTTCAGAAAATCATCATTCATTTCCCAAGCCAAACTTGCAGTGCAACTGGTTGCCAAAAGCATTGGAGTGTGTTCCAATGCATTCATATCGATAGGCGTAATAAGTTGGAGCATAAGGGACTTAATGCTTTGGCCTTTGTACAATACAACTTGAGATTGAGGACGAGGTAATAGGCTCTTATGTTAATTTTCAATCATTCCTTTAATAATTGCATTCCATATTCCAGTACTGGGCATAGCTCTTGGTTCTTACTTCTTAAAGTTCTAAGCTTGTGAAATAATATGAAATGTAGAACCAAGAACCACATGTTTGGACTCAATTGACAGAGAGGATAGTTACTGTTGAATTATGGGTCCTCAAGCAAGAGCACCCAGTTCTTCAAGGCGTCGAAGAACAATTAGATAACTGGATGAAAATGGAGATGGAACCATCACAAGGAGATATATGTTAAGTTTTAAGCACTTGATTTGGTTTGTTAGTAAATGACGACTTAGTAAGACTCCTAGGCTCCTATGCTATATGACTTACTAGTAAAAAATAAGTTAATAATTCACTTAGATATATAAAATAATTCTCATAAGTGGTGGAAATGATGATTTAGAGGGTTTTGATGGAGACAATTTCAATGATGATGAGGAAGAAGAAGAAGGAAATGAAGACAAAAATGATGGAGATTGCATATGACTTGGATTCATTAGTTTAAGCATTTACATATATAAGCATTTATGTAACAATCTAACTATGGGATTTAGACGGGCCTTTTTTATGTCTTGATGGATTATGAATTTATGTCTTACTCTTTGTGTGCATGACTTTATAAGTGAGAGTGGGAAAGTGCCAGTATGGGGCTTAGTAAATTCTAACTATAGACAACTAGATAATGATAATTATAATGTGATTCACTTTACTGCTTTACTAACTTACTTGCTCAATACCATTCAATTTCATTGTCTAAATCGTCATTGCGTGATGAATTACTGCATTAGGGGAATGCATCATGCAGTTATCTTCACAAATTTCTTAACCTTCGCTTCTAAACTTGTGTATCTTTCTAACCTTGGCTTCTAAACTTGTGTATCATGCAGTTCCTAATAATTTTTTTGAATTTTGTAAGAAAATTCTAATTTTCCATTTTTTTCCTTTTTTTCTCTTTTTTGGTTTTATTTGTATTTTTCCTCAATTTTTAAAAATTTCTTCAAATTTGGACCATTTGACAGGTGAAAATGGTCAGGTTCAACCCGTCCCGACCAAACCAGTTCCTCCATCACTTCATGTCTGGTCTAGTCCTAATACATTGATACAAACACTGCCCTCCAATCTTCAAATTCTAGACCCCAAAATAAATCATACAAAAGATTATGATAAAAAAATTATTCAATGAGCACAATGAAGGTTCTATAGGAAACGTCACATCACCCCAGCTGTCTGATGTCAACAGCGATGGCTAGGAGGTGTCATTCTTCCACGCAAAATCTGTCAAATATTTTGACAATTCTAGGTGGAGGAGAGATGAACCAGACATCCCATGTTGACATATCTCTTTTTAGGATTTATTTGTATTTTTTGTCAATTTTTTAAAATTTCTTCAAATTTAGACCGTTTGACAAGGGAAAATGGTCAGGTTCAACCTGTCCTGACCAAACCTGTTCCTCCATCACTTCAAGTCTGGTCTAGTCCTAATACATTGATACAAACACTGCCCTCCAATCTTCAAATTCTAAACCCCAAAATAAATCATACAAAATATTATGATAAAAAATTATTCAATGAGCACAATGAAGGTTCTATAGTAAACTTCACATCACGCCAGCTGTATGATGTCAACAGCAATGGCTAGGATGTGCCAAGTACAGGAATCATATGTGCAGTTCTTCCCTTTTTGACATCAAATGGATGGGGCGTAACGTAAATTTTCCTATAAGACCTTCATTCAACTCATTGTATAAGAAACCTTAAGAAGTAAGCAAAAAAGTAATAGTAGAAGAAGTATATGAATGAGAAGAAAAGGATATCAATACAAACATAGCAAAATACTCGACACAAAAAACAAACATTAGAAACACAACCTCTTCAGTGTTAGAATCATCAAATAGCTCACACCAACATCCATAAATTGAAGTGCAACAGCAAGGATGTCAGCCAGATAAACCATACCCTGTATCCCATAAATTGGGATGATTTTTTTGAATTACAGATAAGAGAAGCATTGTCGAGATGTACACGTAATATGCTAGAAACAACAGAAAAACAATCTGACAAAATGGGGCTTAAACCTAGTTCCAGAAAAAGGGCAGTAAATCGATATCATATGAACCTAAACCTACACAGTGTATAATAAATAACTCCCTTGAACATGATCAACATAGTACATAGAAGAACTTTTCCAAATTATAAGTACCATAAAAAAACTAGGAAAAGCTCATGGCATAAGGTTTATTTTCCAATGGCTCCCATGGGAGTAAGGTAGGTAAGAAGAAAATTTTCTACTAGGAATGGCAGGAGGATGTGCAGAGGAAGTCCTACACTTCGGAGCAAGAATGATACTCCAAGTAGAGTTCTTGCAATTAAGGTCCACAAATAAAGAATAAACCAAAAATTCCAAACTCCATAAACGGAAAAGAAGTTCACATTCAATGGGAAATAAACAATATAACATGAAATAACATGTAACCAAGCAATACAGACTACAATAAAATTACACATGTAGTGCACTGTGGTTTAAGGCCCTCATTAACATGAACTAATACCCATAAAATAGAACGGACTCCATAACCATTATTCACAAAAGCAATTTGGCTATGAACCAGAATCGATATCGTAACGGAAAGTCCTTATTCAAAATATATATATATATATATCATAACAGAAACAAGAGTAAAACAATTACAAAAAATAAAAATAAAAAGAAAAGAAAACAAGGAAAAAACATAACCAAAGAACAGGGATCACCGACTGAAATCACACCTATAATGTCCATCTTTGTACAAGTCAAGCTCGCTGGTCCATGACCAGCGAGCTGCAAAGGACTGATGCTTCTTCACTCCTTGGAAAATCACGACCACCAAGATCAACACCAAAACCAGCTCCTCCCTCCCTGTAATTCAACCAAGAAGGAAACAGCATCCATAAATCCAACAACAACACCTCTGTCACTGACTTCCTAACATCCTAATACCAATGCCCCCATTTATTTTAAATTCATGCATGCCACCACTAGCACTAAGAAAAAAAATCTTCAAAAGCAAGACCTTTTTGGGTGTTCATTTTCAAGAGATTTCTATTTTCAAGAGCCATCAAAACTATGATAAGCTCGCCCAGAAACCATCGTCCTCAGACCTGAAGACTCGACCCGACTCGATAAGCTCCTGAGCGAGTCATCTGAAAAAACGAACAATGTGACCCGAAAGAGGAAAAATAATCATAAAAATATAAAACTATACAACATTATTTATAGTTACATAATTTTTATTTTGAGGAACTTTATGGTTACATAATTTAAAAATATCCATATACGCAATCTAACCTAACTCATTTAAGTTGCAATGAACACACAGATAACTACAAACCTAAAAATGATTATACTAAAACCAATACAAAACAAATGAAAATATTGCTAGCCATTTAACTCGTTTAATACTCCAATCACACAGACAATACTTTATCTTTATCAAAGAAGAACGATAAGAAATGGCAAAAAAGATAAAGGAAACAGAAAGGAATTTGGCAAACCAAAAATTTCAAAGAAAAATGAAAAAAACGGAATAAGGACTTTCCCTTATTCGGTAGGTTTGGAGACTTTCTTTTCAGCAAATAAAAACCCAGTAAAGACTTGACATGATCAATAGATGGTCCATTACGGATTCTCTTTCCCAAAAGTTTTCCCAAAACTAGGGTTCATGGATTCAGTTATCTACTTTAAACATGTTCGTCCCACAGAATCAAAAAATTAGGGTTTCGAGGTACCTTATGGGAGAAAGACTCGAGCTCAAGAGCGAAAAACCTCAGTTTGTTATTAGAACCTCCTTCATTCAGGGCAGTAATAAAGGAAATATATATGGTTGCAGAGCCCACAGTAGGAGCCAATTTGAGAAAAGTGCAGCTAAAGAACAAAAACAGACGTCAGCAAGGGTCTAAATCTTTTGGTTGGTGAAGAATCTCAAGAACAAAAACAACGAAAAAAGTTTATATAAGGTTGATGTGGAGAATCAAGGTGAATAGCAAATATCCATCTTAAAAAAGGTTATTTTGATTTAAGCAAACTATCTAATATTCTAATCAGTTAACATGCAATCAAGATGTATCACTAATGAAAATAATAATAATAATAATAAATAAATTATTAAGTCTTAAAAATATTACATACAATATATTATTTAGACGATCTATTTTCAAGATTTTTTATTTAAATTATTTTAAAAATTTAAAATTTATAATCAAAAATAAAAATATATTATTGGGTCAACCTAAAAATTTTGTATGCCAAATGTGCATCTTATAATAAAGTTTAGAAGTATGTCTTACTTTAATTAGAAGTATGTCTTACTTTAATTGTTTATGGTTGCAAATCCAATTCACACCCTAAAAACAATAAATAGGTTTCATTGATGGAGGATGCATTCAAACATATATTAGTCTACAAACAAGTACCTTAAAGAGAAATTTTTACTAATATTCCTTGGAATTCCCAATATTCAAAAATTTCCTCCCCCCACCTGCATAATTTGGTTATTATGTTTGTACCCCTTTATTGTTACTTTTTTTTTTTTTTTTTTTTTTAATACCAATTTAGCCTACTTAGGTCCAAAGTTGAGTTTGATGGCCCTTTTATTGTACCTTTTGTTTGTATGTTTTTTTTTTTTTTATAACCAATTTAGCCTACTTAGGTCCAAAGTTGAGTTTGATGGACAACTTCGAACAACGTCCGAGATATGTTTTTGAGAAAAACCACCAACATGATATCCATTTTTGAGACCTTTGAACCTTCAAGGTCCAAATTTATTAAAGTTGAAGTTATCCCAAACTTAAATTCAGACCTCCAAGTTCAAAGCAAGGATAATTTGGGAAAGCTAAAAAAAAAAATAAAGGGAGTATGACCTTTATATCTTCTTGGTTGGGTAGGCCAAGGTCTAGTTAGATTCCCAACTAACAAAAAAGCCGAAAACCAGTTAAGCTCGTGTAAGACCCAAGCTACCAATGAAAGGTGGGGAGAGGGTATTACTATGTGTCGGTTGTTTTCAAGGCTAGGAAGCTATGGAGGGGCGCACGTGTGAATGTTGCGCAATCCCTAATCGTCGTACGCGTGAAAACTCTGCTCCCAAATGACTTCCACATTGTTATTGGGGGTTTTTAAAAACTTTCTTTTTTTGTTTTGTTTTCTTAAAGTTATTTTGAAAGTGCATATGCATGATTTCGTGTGAAAAAAAAAACACACGTGCACCGTGCAAGGGTGTGTTGCAAGTCAATCATTATGAAAAGTAGGCTTAGGATGCAAGAAACCCAATAAAAGAAATACATAAATTGTATATAGGGATACTATGAGACAGATCATTTATCTTTGTTACAAGGATGTTATAATTGCTACTAACTATAGGATGTCAAATTAGATAGCTTGAGGTGCGACACAAAGTTTGAGATATTTTTTGTTAGACTTTGAGTCTAGTTAATGATACCCTTATAACCTTAATGATACCCTCACAACCTCCTGATTTGAAATTTGAAGGGCAAGAGTGATTGTGACTCCGTATATCAAAAGTAAATGATCTTTTTGTACATTGCTACCCAGGGAATACTATGAAACAAAAAATACAGGGAACAAGGAATAGAGCCCATTGAAAAATTTCTCTAGTGGTCTCTGTAATTAGCGATGTAGAGCACATCGTTGGAGACAGGAAATCTAGTGATGTGAACTATGTTGATGGCCCGAATGGTTTTCTAACATGATTTTTGTATTTTCCAAAGAATAAAATTAGGGTAATGTTTTTGACCGATGCAAAATCTCAACTCAATTGCCCTATGATGGGTGCCAAACTGTTTACGTGCCAAGTCTAACGAGACCTCTAATGATATCTTTTTCGATTTTTTGCACAAAACAGTTAAATTTTAGATCGATAACGATAGTGGAGATCAGTCAAATTATATTCCTAGAACTGGCTCATATCTAAATAGGTCCTACCACTTTTAGAACTATCGATAGTGTCGACCGAATGTTCACAGCACATTAAATCGTTAAAAGCAAGATCTTCCAACTATACTAAAAAGGATTAGATTAAGTCACAAAATAAACAAGTAAAAAAAAGACAAAGAAAAAAAAAAAGAGAAAATACTTATTTGAAAACCTTAAACCTTGAGCTGCGGGGTCGGATGAGGCTGTTCTTCGTGCGCAACCCTCACCTTTTTGGAAGTTTTGATGAGAAGAATGGATTATTTTAGGCTTTTGGCTATGGATAATTGTAACAATCTTAAACTTTCAAAAATATATATATATAATAATAATAATAATATTAATGTTGTTAACAGAAATAAATATAAAAATAAATAATAATAATAATAAAATAAATAAATAAAATAATAAGTATATATTAGTAATGATAATAATAAGAATAATACTAATATACCGTTAGGATATTGTTGCTTTTATATTAACAATAAATAAAAGATATTATTGTTAATATATTTGAGGGTTCAATTTTACTTGAGTGGACTTTAGGTCCACCACATTAAAGTTTTACAACAACACTCCTATTATTAATGTGTTTTCTTTTTATTCGTCCTTCTCTCTCTCAACATTTAAAACCCTAGCCCTTATTATGGTTTCTGCAACTTCTTTCCGAGTACGAGGAAACCAACTCTTGTTCGTTTTTTTTCAAATAACCTTTGCTTTCTTCATTAAAGGGGTCTATGTGCACAATACAATACTTTTCTTGTGTACTGGTCTAAGGCCTCTTATCTTTCTCTCTCTAGCCGAATTCTTATCGGAAGCTCCTTCTCAAATATTTGAGGTAAGTGACATCGTCTTCCTGAAAAATAGTCTGGTTTTAATAAATAGTGATATTTTCATCCAGGATCTTTATTTTATAAGTTTTGTGTGTAAGTAACCCCATTGTCTCGAAAAATAATCCATTCTTTTTAAAAATGAAATGAAATAATTATTTCTACTTATTATCATGAATTTTAGGCGTGATAAATTTTATGCGCACGTGACCTCATTATCTTGAAAAATAATCTTTTTAATAAAAATTGTGATATTTTATCTATGTTAGAAATTTTGAATGCTGTAAATTAGAAAAATAAATTTATTTTTTTTTCTTGTCTATTGTTAGAAATAAATGTGATATTTTTGCTTTTAGTAAAATTGTGATATTTCTTTCTACACTTTTGAATAGACATTGTAAAATTCATGTGCAAATGACTGCCTTATTATTTAAAAGTTGACATTTTTGCAATTGATTATAGTATTGTTGTGAAATGTTTATTTGTGGATTGATATCCCATAAATTGTGATAATTCCGTATTCTTGAATTTTTATAAGAGTTTTTCTATACATATTAAATTGACAATTATGCTATAATGCTTTTACAAACTGCTACCTTTCTAAATTTGAACCCAAAATATTTGATTGGTTATTTTTGAAATGTTATAGAGATTGACTGTTATTAATGGTTTAAGTGAAATTCATATTAATGATTTGAATGATACGTTGAGTACATGATATTGCTGCTTTCGGATGTTTAAAGAGATTTAGAAATAATTTAAGTATGCAAGTGGACTCATCCGGTTCGCCGGTGAGGTATAAGTGGACCTATCTGGGACGCCGGTAGGGATTAAGTGGACTCATCCGGTACGCCGGTGAGGTATAAGTGGACCTGCAGGGATTAAGTGGACCTATCTGGGACGCCAATAGGGATTAAGTGGACCCATCATGACGCTGATGGGGTATATAGGTGACCTACTTGGGACGCCAGTAGGGTATTTTGTGAAATCCTTTGAATTATGCACTGCCGTTAAAAGTGTTATAAGCATTTCAATTACTCGGATTATACTTAATTATGCATTTATTGAAAGTGAAACTGTTGATGCATTTCTGTTAATAGATCTCATTTGGAAAATATTGATATCTTTCAATCATGATTATTTTTAGGATTATGATGATCACTTACTGAGTAGCCAAACTCATCAAACTATAGTAAACATTTTTTCAGGCTAACTACGGATTCATTTTGAGTGCTAGTCAAGATCAACCTTGGAAGATAATGTTGTTGTGCTAGCTTTTTTTATTTACTTTGTAAGACCTCGCCAGTGTAAATTTGTCCTATCAATAGATGTATATATGTTTTGTCTGTCACATCTCAGGAATAACAGTATTGTAAATTCTTGGGGTGTGACAATAATTGGAAGAGATAGGGTAGGTTTTCATAGATTTAAGATCTAGGTTTCCTAATTCCTAAGGAAAAAAAAGTAAGGTTTATAGATTCCAATGGAAAAATATCGGAATTAGGTTGTCTAATTCTAAGGATTTTTCCTAATTTCGTGGATTATCCAAATAAATTCCTAGGGAGTTTGGAATTTCTATGAATTTACGTATTTTCTAAGGATTTAGAGATTTTCTAGGAATTTTTAGCCATTTTTATATGATTTATATATGGGATTGGAGGGGATATAGGGTTGGGTCCAAGATATCTCCCATAGAATACTCCTCTATGATTATTTTCTGATAATTATAAAAGATAGGTTTTCCCACTCAAAGTCGGTTCTAGGTCAGTCAAACCGATCTTCCCCACCATCCGGAAACCTTACAAAAAAAATCCAGAGAATTCAAGGGTTACAGAAGGTTTAACGATGCGATATGCATCGCTAGGCCCATTGGGCTTAGCGAATGTCACATGTCACTGGCCCGGATTTTCCCTCAACTAGTGCAAAATTTCTTGTTGTATCCTGTCGTGGTGATCCAGTCCCAGCTTCAACATATCCTAGGACTTGTAATCTTGGCCGCATATGGGTTGGTTAATGGTACCTTTGGACAATGGATCACAAGATAGGTGTACTATGGCTCACTAGGTTAGTGTGATCCTATAGCTTACAACTATAGGCTTTTGGAATTCTTTCGGCCAAAATCCCAATGGTGGTGTCTATAAGAAACAATTGAAATGCCTATAGTAAGATCATTTACTTTTGGTATAAGAAGATCACAACCATTATTGAGTATTAAATCCGATAGTTGGGGATATGTCATTGACTAATCACAAAATCTAAAATAAAATTTCTCGAATGTTGTTACACATGAATTTCGCATCAATTGACTGAAAATAATCGTGTCCTCCTTACATCTGAAACATCAATCTCATAGTATACTACCTCAGAAAGGGTAGGATTGGAGTCAATCGGAATGACAAATGTTTGAATTAGAGCTATGTTAATAGGATAGAACCAACAATGATGACATAAGAGAAGCAAAAATTTGCAGGCTGATTCACTATAATCGCTCTAATGGTCTAATGAAATGCTAACCAACTATCTTTTTTTCTTTTTCCTTTTTTTTTTTGGGATTGAATTTTTCATGCCCAAATCTAATCACTATCAAAGTTGGACTTGCCCAAAATGCTGAGGGTACATTACATCCTGTGCACCCACATGTTTCGCAGCTGATGACTTCTTTGATCCCTGGATAAACAAAAGGCCTATTTAAGAAGAATGACAACCAATATTGAACATAAAAGTTCAAATGAATATATAAAAAAAGAAGTTTATATAAGATTGAGGCTCAAATAATCAAATATGAGGCGCGCTTCAAAAATTCACCGGAAAAAGTTGTTTCGATGTGGAAAAACCCTCAAATCATATCATCTTGACCTTGAGAAAGATGTACATAAAAAAAATGGATACCAATTCTTGAAAATAGTACATCTTATAATGCATTATCTAGACCATCAATTTTCAAGATTTTAAAGTGTTCATAGATCTGCTTGTTATGCACTATTTTTTAAGCTTGCAATTTCATAATAAGAGATAGAAATACATTTTCAAGCCATCATAAATATTTTCGGTGCTGAAACGACAAATTTCAACTCTATTCGAAAATGTATCTTACTTTGATTGTTAGGGCCTGAACCCCACATCCCAAAAAAAATATGAAAATGAAAAGAGAGAGAACTAATCAATTCTTAAGACCAGGCTCAAGCAATTATCAAATTCATGCTCTAAATTGTTCACAAGTGAAGTGGGTAGATCGATAAGCCTCGAGTTTGACTTCGAGTGATGACTTCAATTTTTCACATCATAGTCTATGATCTTCGTCTTTTCCTCAAACCACCAACTAATGAAGTACTTATCCTCAACAAAGACTCGAGCTTCTGCTTTTAGGCAAGATTCAAGCCTCAAGCTATGAAGACCCACTTCTATCGTCTAAACCCAAATTTCTCTTCACTTTTCAGCTTCATACTTCCATGTCTATGGGGGAAAAGACACCCACCACTTAGCAATTGAACTTCATAGCGTGCCATTACGCACCATTTTTATTATATATGGTGTGTTAAACTCAAGCTTCTAAGTCAGTCTCCACTTCCTGGCCTGTGAGCAAAACCAGTTCTTTTTCAAAAGTAAGCCAAAGCCAAAATCTTGAAATTCAGAGCAAAACAAGAGCAGATCCTTTTTCAAAGAGCCCAAGCCAAAATTTTAAAATTCAGAGAGATGGGTTCAAAATGAAAACCCCAAATTCAAAGATATAGGATCAAAATGAAAAAAAGATCTTGTGTAGGAAAAATGGTAGATTTGCATGTTGCAGGGTTGCCTATGAAAAAATCTTTGGTTGAGGAATCTGACCAGTAATGGTAGGGAGTTTTTGGTTTTTTTTTGGTTGGAGAGAGAGATTGGGATGGAGGATGGTAACTGATAATGCGCTTGCTGCTGTCGAAAAAAAGGAATGTTGGAGAGAAAGTGGGTTGTGGCGAAAGAGGGAGAGAAGAGGAGTTCCTTCACGATTTAGAAACAATTTTGAAACTAACAATGGATTTAACAGGGAGCAGATAAACAATTTTTATTATCAAACTGCATGGAGATCAGTAGAGAAAGAAATCATATCCATATCTCTCGTAGAAACACACACTTTCTCTCGACCCCAAGAGAACCTCTCTCTTAACCCTCAGGGCACAGCCTCTCTCTCTGCTATAGTGGATGGGAATGGTGGTCTGTCTATGAGATAACAATGTCAAGCAATGAATATTGAGAGAACCAGTGTGGAAAAACTCGGGCGAGTAACTCGGACTCACCAACTTGGAAGTCTCAGTATCTCAAGTTGGGTGGTCCGAATAGGCAAGCTTTCTATGCTTTCACTACAACATAAAATTTATATACTTCCCCTTATCCAACTATCCATTCTGAATGAAGGGCTAAGATTGCCCCAATCACAATATCACGTCTCTAAACTATTTTATTTTTCATTTTTTTTCTAGATATTATTTTGACACCAAATTTTGTTCATCCATTCCTCTATGCACTAACGAAAAATATAAAAAAAAAAATTTCTAATAAAATAAAATGACCAAAATACTCCTGAAATTTTCAAGGGGTATTTTGGTCATTGTATTTTATCAAAAATTTATTTTTAATATTTTTTATAGGTGCGCCCCAATGAGAAGCTTACACGTACCAAATTTCATATTCATACAATTTGTATAAAAAAAAACTAAAAATAAAATACTTTGAGACGTTGGATCTAAGATCAAATGATGAGTGGCTCTCTTGATCAAAATTGGACGGCTGGATGATAGGAGAAGCATAGATCTTCCAAGTTGTAGAGGAAGTATAGAAACCATTATAAAAATCCAAAAAAATGCATTTATTTGAATATTTTTTTGTATTTTCTATCATTTTCACAAAGATTGGAAAGTGTTTTAGCTATAAATACTTACTTTTTAAGTCATAAAAAAAAATACATTTATTTGAATTTTTTTTGTATTTTCCATCATTTTCACAAAGATTGGAAAGTGTTTTAGCCATAAATACTTGCTTTTTAAGTCATAAAAAAAAATACATTTATTTGAATTTTTTTTGTATTTTCCATCATTTTCACAAAGATTGGAAAGTGTTTTAACCATAAATACTTGTTTTTTAAGTCTTCCCTGTTTTCAATTATTTCTAAAATATTCTTGTGACAATTTGACTTTTTCAAAATCAAATATTCACTATTTTTTTAACCTCGTTTAGATGTGTTTTGTTTATTTTTACCTTACACACATTTTTTCTTTTTTACAATATTTTAGATTATTTTTCGCACTTTCTGGCTTAGCCAAACTCAATCCTCGTTAATCAACTAGGCCATGAGCCTACGTCCGTCCTCATCTAGTGATTCTATCAATTTGTTGAAGTCAAATGTTTGTCATCATTCTCGCCCCTCTCTTCTCTCTCTCTTCAAAATTTTAAGGGAAATTACCATAAGAATTATTTTTCCCAAAATTACAAATATTTCAAAGTAACTTAACTCTTCAAAATTTTAAGGGTAATTACCAAATATTAAAAATACTTCAAATTAGTTTTCGTGATAATGAATCATGATTAACTGCGAAGAACAGCCTTAGGTTGAGCAAGATATAAAAAACATGCATACGTTGGAACATAGCATTCAACCCTCTCTACAAAATACCAACAGATGATAACTGTAGAACACATAAGTAAAAGGACAGCGGTTTCTATGAGTCCATGTAAAATGAGTCACCTTTTAAAGACATTTTTTAGATGGATTTTTGTGCTTAATTTTTAAGGACATGTGATCTCTAACATGGAGATCATGAATATGAAAAAATAAATAAATTTTGAAAATTAGAAATAATAATTTTATTAAAAAAACATTTGTCCCATTAGTTTCAATTGTTTTTAGATGGACCACCGATTTGCATCCATCTTTAAGATGGATGCTTTATACTTTTGGACCACATATTATAGAAATGAGGTCCAACCCGCATGAAACAAATTTCCTCAGCAAAAACCTACCAAGTGTAAGAGTAAGACCTCCCTCACCCAAAACAACATGTCGACAACCAATGTTCAAGAAGGTGGATTTCGCTGCTTAGACCGCCCTCAAGTGCAGAGAAATGGTTTTCATATCTGGATTAAAACAACATATTTCGGCACTAATGGAAGTGTCATTTATAACGATCGTGGGAAGATGAATACGTTTGGCATGGAATGACAACCAGCTACTCGAGAAGCTTCAGACCTTAAAGCTTATATAATTTCAGCAACACCAATAACATGCATATACCACTAAGTTCATATAACAGTTATAGGAATCACATTCCTCGACTTGAAAATACCAGTAGAATGCATCAAAATAGATAGGGATTCCATATGAAACCCACCCAAAAAAGAAAATTAAGGAAAATGGCATAAATTTACAGACAAAGATTGCCTCAACCAAAAGGACACTACGTCAAGTACCTCCAAAGCGCAGGACGATCTCTTGATATAAGCAAAACCCTTGATGCCGCATAATCGAAGGAGGGATTGTATAAGTCATCAGAGCCAATGACTTCTCTAACATTACCATTATTTGCACGATCAGTAAATGCATCTTGCAAACCCTCATCCTTAAATACGTCAAATACAAACAGTCCTTGCCCACTCACTCCCATAACAAGGCAGGAAGAACCCCAAACTTGAGTTATGGAAGAATGTTGAAAATGAGCATTCGGCACTGGAAGAGCATAGGTGCAGACTAACTTCCCCTTTCGAAGTGAGAATTGCTGAACCCGAGAGCATGGAGAAGACTTGGATGGCAATCTTGAATTGATGCAACCCAAAAAGATTGAGTCCTCACGAGCATAAATAGACTGGCCATTAACCCCAAGCTTTGGTATTTTCAAGCCTATGCCTGATGGAACACGGAAGTCAAAAACTTGAATAGAATCTTGAGTGCACGAGACACCATCATTCCCTTCTGCCTCAGAGGAACTTACTCTGAAAATAAAAGAAATAATTACATATGCAAGAGCAATTTGCAATGTCTAAGACCTGCCTCAGCTTGGAGTATCTTAGCACTATCAATATAAGCAAATCCATGAGTGCACTCGTATACACTAATATATACGGACTTGTATATAGAGCAACACTAGTGATCAACTACAGAGCAAATAATGAATGGAGTAGAGACAAACACATACCAAGAAGAAAGTGAGAAGAAAGGGAAAATGGCAAAACGAAATAAGAATAAAAAGCATAAGAAACCAAGTACCACCAAGGAGAATAGCAAAATATACAAGACCAACTCATATGTAACTGCAAATGATGCCTTTTTCTTTTCCATGTACATGAAAGATGCGCTCAAAAAAACTTAAAAGAGGATAGAAAACATAAAAGCTTAAGAGCATTAAAGGAAACAAAAACTAAAAGCATTTAGATTTATAGATTACCTCTGGCGAACTCCACCACCACATTCACCATCAGTGTTGTGCACATGAAGGGCAGAAACTCTTCTACCAGAGAAAGAAACAGACTGGAGAGGTTGTGGGTTAAGAGAATTAATATCCCAAACACTAATCGCTTCAGATTCAGCTATAACCACCTTTCCTTTGTTTCTGAATTGCAAAGGGCTCGACGTCTCCATCCCCATCACCGGCTTTGGAGTATCCCACCTCATAACCAAATCTCCATCACGAATGTCATATATGGTCACCGTCCTCTGAAGACTAGCACCAGACACCAAAAGTGGTCCGCAAGGCTTGTACCACCAACTTGGATTCTCAGGGGCTATAACCGCAGACAAAGTATTTCTTCTGTAGAGACCTCTGTTGGAGGGAGCAAAAACCCTTGTTGAAGAAGAGGGGTGGGGTTCACACTCAACTCGAAAAGCCTGAATCTCTTTTGTATAAAAATCCCATGAGCAAAAGCCCGAATCCAATGCATTCCCGGCTGAAGCTGCCACCACATATCTCCCAGAGCAACCATCAGACCCAGTAGTTCGAATCAACCAACAATCCGCCCACAAGTTTTTGGATGCCCCATATGGCGGTTTATACTCAGCTTTTTCCTGACATAAAAACGTAAGTTTTGCAAATTAGAGAACACCTAGATTCATTTCAATAATATTGAGATAGGACTAGTCAACGTAACTCACAAATGACTGGCACTTGCAATGGAAAGCAATAGAGGATAACAAAAGAAAATAAATAAAAAATATGTGGAATGTATAGAAAGACAAGAATTAAAAATTGTGAAACAACACAGAAAAAGAATTAAAAATGATGAAATCACATAGAAATGCCATATGGCTCATATCTAACAAACCACGTTATGTGCAATCATTGCATTATTTGAAAAACTAAAGAAAAATCAAACACTACAAGTTATAATACATAAGCAGCTAAGAAACTGAGAGCACCTCAAGTCATATTTGAAACTATTGGGGTGTCCTTGTCTATAAGTTATGAAATAAATGCATATATGGTACAAGTGCTGTGGAGGAAAAAGAGAATGGGCATTTATAAATGACCAACAAGAGCCTATGAGGTTTCCAAAAGAAGCTGGCAGCATCTATTTTTAGGCTGTTTAAAATTTTTAATAATTCTTAATACAGAACTTGACAAGACCAACAGTCACCTGCAATGGTTATACAGCATATATTAACTTCTAATCACATACTTATTATCAGAAGAAACACGTCACTCTAAACTAATCATATATCCCAATCAAACAAAATCTACAATTTTACACAATATAAACCTTGCATAATTGTTTCAAGTCATGCATGCATGTGGAAAGTATATAAGTTGATCACTTTTGTGATCACAAATGGACACATGACAGACTTTTATAAATAGAGCCACTAAGCATCAAATTCCCCAAAGAAACAGATAAGGATTAAAAGATTTGAATAAGATAGACTTGTATTCAATATTATAGCATACCTCCGAATTTGCAATATCATAGAAAGAGCATGAGCTATCATCGTGCGCTAGCAAGACTGATTCACCGTCACTGACAAACCATCCACCTGTTGAAGGTTTTGACCCTATTTGTTGCAGCATATCCACACATGAATCATCAGTGTCTTCCTGTAAAAATATTCCAGCCCTGTTCTCCTGATCATCAAACTCATAATTCTCATCACACATAAGGTTCACTTCATTCTTCTGGTCCAATCCTTTCCTAGAAATCTCTGCTTTGTCAGTCCTTTCTTTGTCTTTGGGATCAGAACAAATAGCTGATTCCATTTCAATGATAGATTTTGCATCTGTCTTTACCTCCAAATTCCTTCGACTCTCTTGGTTCAAAGATGCCAAAAACTCCAATGCTATTGGATTCTCATCTATAGGTAAAACCAATTCATCATTATGCCCTGAATCAATATTAGAACTCGCAAGCATGGGTTTCAAACTGTGTTTTTGAACCCCATCCTTTACATTTAAATTACCCAAGGATGGGCGTTTTCTCAGTAATTTATGGTGGGGGAAAAGTCTCTCTTCCAATTCCTCACTGTTAAACCTGTTCACTGTCTTCTTTGTAGCACCAGAAAAGCCATATTTAAGCACCCCAAGAGTTCTGTCCATCAACAATCCGCTCTCACTCTTCTTTTCAATATTCATGGATTGCTTATGAACCTCACCTGCCTCTGCCTCTCCGTTCAATGTTTCAGGATTTCTAGTGCAATTCAACTGTTCACCAAATTCTTTATCAAATCTCCCCTCTATTTGTTTTCCAAGTTCTTTATCAGGGAGACCCAATTTACATTTTTCCTCAAGTGCACTTCCCATGGCCTTCTCAATCCCTGAAATCTTGTCTTGTATCTCTGAAAGTATGGATTTTGATGATTCAGGGTTGTTTGTATCCAGCATCACCTTTGTTCGTTTGATATCATTTGCAATTCTCTTGACCCTAGATTCCAACGAAGCAAGCTTTTCATGAAGCTTACTTGGATTCCTGCAAGTATTCCCAACACCCAATTCTTTACCAACAAACGCTTCTTCTTTTGAACAAATATCAGCATTCCCATTAGCATTTTCAGAATGCGTAACAAACTTTGGGTCCCCATTAACTTCAGCTACCAATTGATTGATTATAGTTGTTACAGAATTGCCTTGATCAATTTTGGTTTCTTTTGCAGCCAACTTAACAAAGTTTGGGTTTCTATTGTCCTCAGCTAAGGCGGGGATTTCCATGGATTTCACTGAAGGATCTGAACTAGTTACAACTTCTTCAGCTACTTGGTCAATAAATTTTAAGTTTTTGCCACCTTCTTCAATCCAGAGTGTTTGTTGAGCATTTTCTGAGTGATCTGAAGAATATGGGACTCCTTTCTCTAACAAATTCATAAATTTATGGTTTCCACTAACAGATACAGGATTTTCTAGAGATTTTCCCAACTTATTGGAACCAGATTCTTTGGCTGTTGGATGCAACATACGAGGATTTTTGCCAACTTTTTGCAAAGGAGTGGTTTTCAGGGGTTTCACCATACGATCTGAGCAAATTAGAGTTTCCTTTGCAAGTGTTTTTGCAGCATTAGGATTTCCACAAACATCAGAAACCCTACAAATGCGCTCGTTTTGTATACCAGAAACCATGCGTGGAAAAGAAGAGGGCCTAGGGTTAGTTTTGATACCTTTGGACAATGAAGAAGTCGACCATCTGAGAACACTTTCTCCAGATTTGGGACCCAAACCCTGAATCTTGACCTTAGGATCCTTGAGAGCTTCTGACTGGTTTGCAAATGAGCTTTTGAAAGGTTTTCCAGCTGATTTTCCAGCGACTTTGCAGGAGATGTTCTCTTTGAAAGCAGTTTCAGTCACTGATTTCAGCGGTTTTAAGCATCGAATTGGAGGAGAAGGAGGAGGAGCGCCTGCCATTACCTTTCCACCACCGCCTCCTCTCTCTTTGACCCTATAATTAGACGCCATTTTCAAGAATTTCTACTAGTTTTGAAAAATCAGTCTTTTAGATCCAAGGATGCAAAAGGGGGCAGGGCTGGCAAGAGGGCTTTGTAATTTTTGCACTTGTTCTCTGCAAAATCAGGCTTTTGATGCAACGAAATGCCAGATTAAAGTGTCATCTATTGAGGGTTTCCAAAAGGACCGATCTTGAAGAAGGAAATGGAAATCTAGGGTTTTCTTCGACTGATTTTCTGCAAGACCAGGGATTTGAGTAAGGGAAATGAACTAGGGTTTCCCTGTCCAAGATTTCATCTCTAGTTCCAAAAAACCAGGGTTTTGAAGCGAGGAAATGGAAATATAGGGAAAGTTCAAAAAAACAAAATAGAAATCCAAGGTGTTCTCTGTCTTTGCTATCTTTTCTCGTTCGAAATAAGCAGATTTCTCAAATTTGAAGGAAGAAATTGAAAATTAGGGTTTAATTTTGTGCAGTTTTGGCTTTTGGAAAACCGAAAATGGAAAACTAGGGTTTTTTTGGGACGCTGGTTTTGGAGAAGAGGAGGGAAATATAAATAATTTGAATTTGAACCTGGATGAGTCCAAGGAGGTTCCAAGATTTTATTCTTTCTTGAAATTCCACGGCGATCCTTATAGTCATGTGAGTATGGTCCATGTGACCATGCTTAGTGTTTTAGTAAATCCGAGTCGGGCTCAATCTCAGCAGGGTAAAGAAATTAATCTCCTCGGCCCAACTCAGGGAGTCTGAGTCATGTTAAGTAATTGTTGACTTGGAGTTACCAACCTTTTAATCCAGTCTAGCTCAGGCGATTCTAAGCCACAATAGTGATTCTAAGCCACACAGTGGTCATGATAACTTCATCACTTACTGAATGTGAATGTCAGTAGGTTTAATTATGCAAGAGGGATTGGGGCCCACAATACATTTTTCAATTATCGGATTGGACTACAATACTTTATTTTCTTTCTTGGCATATTAATCAGGAGGATTGGAAATCACAATATTATATAGTAGCTCCACCATTTATACCACTCAAGCCAATAACCCATTCTTTGTATAGTCGTACTTTATCTCCATCTAGGTCTTCTATGATGTGTGCCATCACTGGGTTGGACTGTGCTATAGGGATCAAGCCCCACAATTCAACTTCAAATAATGAATTGTATGGCCTTGCTCTGTCTCCACCATCCAACTCAATTTATTGCCGGTGATAAAATCACTCATTGTCACCATCACCGTTACTATTACCAAGTAAAGCACATTATCAAATTTTGGACTCTTTTTTTTTTTTTTTTGAAAGATGTCACATATATTTTATGAAAAATTATGCATTTACCTTTAACATACGGAGGACACATATAAAATTTGTTGGGGTCGGTTACACCAAAATCACACCCTATAAAAGATTAGATTTTTTTTGGGTAATTCCGTATGGAAGACAACCCTGCAGATTTTTTTTGATAGAATAGGGAGTTAGCTATTTTTGAAGATGTCATTGCGTAGTGTCATCAGGATTGAAAACTACAACTTAGTAACCGGGTACAAGGATCTAAATCCTAATTAGTACATATACTATGCTCCTATAGGAGCATATTGCATATGTACTCCCTCGGTCAAATCACTTAGCTAAGTTGATTTTTTTAATCTAAATCTTTGGGAACCATACAACAATTACTAGATGATTTTTTTTTAAAGAAAAAAAAATTGAATTTTAAGTTTTGTGACACTTAGATCTATCCCTTCAAAAATTTGACCGTCACTAGTCAATCTTGAGGCATTAGTTTTTTCTATTACATTTATGATATGTTTTTCCTAAGATTATTTTATGGGTTGTAGAGATTACATCCCCATAATTTGAGATCTAAAAAGTATTCCTAGCATGTGCTTTGCCTAAGGGAGGAAATGGATAGTATAGTCCCTAGAGAGGACGTAATTTTTAGTAATCACAATATTTTCAAAAATCAATATTTTCCCACCAAAAAAATAGGATTCATGTGTTGCTTTGGGATCAAGCTAGTAGTTTAAAAGAGCCTAAATAAAGCTTTATGCAAGTTGGTTTTGTGTTATCTAATTGAGTCATCATATGGGAAATCAAGAGAGAAAAAGTCTCTTGATGAAGGAAATCAAAATGTAGAGATCCTCTTGATGAATGAAGCAAAGAGAAAAAGTCTCTCAAAGGAAGAGTGAAGCCAAAAGAGAGATTCTCTTGAAGAAAAAGGAAGAAAAGAAAGCCCGAAATAGGCATGATCTCTTCTAGATATTTGTCTTTGTTGTAGAGAGAGAAAGAGAAAGAGAAAGAGAAGAAAATGATTGGTGATCTCGATTCATCAGTGTATTGGGAAAATTGATATTTTCACTTAATAGTGTAATTCTCATTGTTTTGTGAATTTCTTTATCTCATTACACAGCTATAAGCAGTGAACTACATAATTTTTTGTGGTTTTTGTGGTGTGAGTTCTTTTTCTTTTTTTTTCCTGCCCATATTATGATCCCTAATCTTGCTGATTTTGTTTCCAGCCGGTTAAGTACATAGTCATGGTGGGATCCGATACTTGTGGTTCTTGTTTCCGCATATAATATGCTCCTTCACTCCAAAAACTTTGGGCATTGAGAATAAAATGTAACTGGTCAAGTGCTCAGCCCATCAAAGGTCTATGCCAGAAGAGAAAGTTTCAACTGAAATGGCTTATCAAACTCAGGAACTTCAGCACCGGCTCAATCACCATTGCCATCTTCAAACTGTCAAAAGCCTTTTGACAAGCTTCAGACTAGTTCTAACCCCGATCCTTCTTCAGTGGATTTGTCAATGCCTTGCCTCTTTCCTCCTGCTGAATCATTAGACACATGGAATCACAATTACTGGGAGTATTCATTTGATCAGGCTCATATTTTTGAAAAAAAAACATTTTTGAAACTTTGTGATACACTGCAAGCTATTAGATTTTAGCTATTAGTAATTGTGACCTTCTAGCACCAAAAATAAATGATTTTATGATATATAACTTTATATTTTATCAAAAAAAATGAGTCAATTACAAATAAGGCTAAATACAAAAAGGAAGCAGCAATCAAGAGAGAGTAGGGAATCTATGAAAACAGCTAAACTAGTTGCCATAGCCCCCTGTTTAACAAAGGAATCTGTCCCTTCATTTTCCTCTCTGTCCACGAGCATTAAGGACACCTCAAACGTAATTATCCTGAATATGAAACTATTGATATGGCAAATTTCAAAGGGAGCTATTATTCACTTCTACACTATTTAATAACATTCAGATAATCACCTTCCACAAAAATCTTAGAACTCGAGTTCCTTGCTTCAAAAATCAGCAATCCATGTAAAATAGTATTCATTTTAGGCTCATTTGCAGTACAATACATCCAATGAGAAGGCGGCCAATAAATTACCTTCATGAATTTTTACTACACCTCCAATAGCCCTAGATTTCCCAAAGAACTACTATCGAAGTTTAGCTTCATTACAAAACACTAAAGCCCAAGCAAAATATACCTCCTTGTAGGACTACCCAGCTCTACCAAAATTTGAAGATTGTAATTATAATTAGATCGGAGAAAGCCACAACACTCTTTCCTAATACTTAGCCATCATTGAATCCCATACTCTTTATCTTCTTCAATTCTCCTACTTCACTCCTTCGAATATCATCCTATTTCTTTCCCTCCAAATCTCCATAAACTTGCAGCTCTAAAAGCCTTCCAAATTAAACTACCAATTTTTGGCAAAAGAATAATATCAAGCTGCTCTACAATGCCAATTGCATTACGGTAAGTCACCTCATTTCATGCATCCATGGGTACCAAAAAAAGAGGTGATCACCGCATTCTCCATCCTGATTGTACGAAATACACATAATGACATTATCGAGCACTTTTCTAATTAATTGGGATCGGCTAAATACACATAATATGCCCCGTCTTTCTTAAAGCATCACTTACAAAGTTATGGATTATTAACAGCCATTGGTTTGGATTATTAATAGCCATTTACCGACTTTTGCCAAAGTTCTCATTTTTTTCTTCTTTTTGTTGGCTTTGATTCAAATATCTCCCAGCAATATTATCTGAACTTTGAAAAATATTGGAAAAAACCCTACAGTTGGTCAATATTTTCTGCACATAATGAAAAGCTCAATTAGTAAATTTGAGATGTAACATTGCTAAAGTCACTTGCAAACCACTCAAGCCTTCCTTTATAAATTAGCCTCCTGTACATGAAAATCTTAGTTTGATTCATAAAAATCATGGTAGCAACTTAGGCATAAACGTCATTAGTATCTAGGATTCGAAATTGGCCGGGCGACTCAAGACAACATGTGTCCCATAGCTTGGCTCGAGCTGAGTAGTTCATGGCTCAGCCTAATGAGGGCGGAGCAAGGGTGGCAACAAGTCAGGTCGAGTCCGGGTCTGGCAAGACTCAATCAACCTGAAGTCTATTTTGTCTCATGTCCATACATCTTGAGATCGAGATGATCAATTTCAGGAGTTTTGGGCATCAAAACAACCTCTTTTATTGAATTTTTTATGTGTGCCTTAATTCGATTAGTTAGGGCCTAACCTTTATATAAAGGTTGTTTTTTAGTAAAATTTTCAACTTTGTCATTATAAAGGTAACAAAAGTGTCATTTTATCCTTTAGTGATAATGAAATATTCACCCATTGTATAATGAGCAAGCCATGATAAAAAGTAACCCTTTAAATAAAAATACAAAAAGACAAAAATAAATAAATAAAAAAAAAAAACCACATAACTCGTAAATCTACCTGGCAAAGCCTTCCGATATCAACATTTGTATTTGAAGGGTTATGAATAGTGATTTCATGTCACTATGTTCTTGTAAACTAATGAAACTACATTTCTTAAGAAACACAGACATTTGAATCATCTCCGATTACACTTTTTTTGTCCTAGACATTGTCAAAATAAATCCCTCTTCAATAATGAATATTGACCACTAGACATGGTCAAAATAAGTCCCTCTGCAATAATGAATACAGTCCATCAATTTGATGAACTTTAAGATTTAGACCTTTACAAACTTTAAATTGTATGGTACAATTTATAGATAAAAAAAAATCCCTCTAAAACCTAGATTCAAGTGCCTCACAATTAATTAAGCTAAAAGAATAGTATTAAGATATTGAATTTTTATTTTTATTGTTCATCAATGGATCTTAAAACTTGCAGTAAAACAAATAGCCTATAATGATTTTTTTGAAACAATTTAACAATATTATTACAAAACTATTGCATGAAATCACCCTATATACAATTGTGTATATGCATAATAAAGCCTTATTTGGTTAACCAAGAAAACAGGATAGAATGACCCATTTCTAAATGGGTGCGGTTTCTATAAGGTCACGACCTTAAACAATCAAATTAAGGCACACCTTAAAATTTTATCATAACATGTAATTTTGTTGTAAAAAATTCTTAGTATTATCTTAAAATCTATTTTCATACCTAATTCGAAAATTTTAAAATCCAAAAATGGTTAAAATCAAGTAGATCTATAAATATATGAAAATCTTGAAAATGGACGATCTAGATAATGTGTTGCAAGATGTACTACTTTCAGGACTCAAAAAGTTTTTTTTTTTTCATATTCATACATCTCGATGTTGAGATGATCGATAAGAGGGTTTTTTCAACATTAAAACAACATTTCCGATAGATTTTAGAGGTGCATCTGTGATTCTACATTTTAAGGTTGCAACCTTATTAAAACTTTTCTCCTTCTAAATTACTACATTTTCCTTGTTTGGGAATGGGGAAAATTGTAGAAACACGGAGCCCCGTAGTTCCCGGTGTTTGGGAATGGAGAAAAGCGTAAAAACACGGAGCCCCTTCTTCCCTTTTAATCTCTCTTTGCCCAAACTCAAACCTGAGCTCTTTCTTTGGTTCTCAGCTTCTAGAGAATTTTCTACTTATATTTTTGTTTCTCCGGTTCAGAGATTCTCCAAGAAAACATACCCTAAAATTCCTACTTCCTACTCCCATGAGAGCACATATGTAGCAAACCTTCTTACCATCCAGGGCATATTTGTATATTTGTGTACTGGAAGTTGTGACTTGTTTTGAAAGCGCAAACTTCCAAATCAATTAGAAGACTAATATATGGAAATATAATGTTTGTAAGATGTTTTGAACTCCCAAACATACAAAACGACAAAAAGCATTTTTTATACAAGCAAAAAGTTTTATATAGAGCTCAAATTAGATCCCACCTTCAAAATTTCACTAGAATAGATTGTTTTGATGCCCAAATATCCTCAAATACATGAGAAAAAAATATATTTTGTTTCGGAAATGGTGCATCCCATAACCGCAGTTTTGAACAGTCGATTTTTAAGATTTTTAAGTTTTTATAGATTTGCTCGATCTACATTATTTTTGAAGTTTTAAATTTAAAAATAAAAATAAAAATATATTTTAAGGCTATCACATAGATTTTCAGTATTGAAACCACATTTCTCGATGCTATTTGAAGATGTGCTTTATTTTTTATTGTTTAGAGTAATTCTTTCGATACAAAGTTCAAAATAAATTTGGAAAAATTGCATAAAACCCTAAAAAATAAACTTTCTAAGCAATTTACCCCAATCTAACTTTTCCTTGCAACTTTTTCTTTTTTTTTCTTCAAAACCATGTTTCCTAGCAAATACCTCACTTCAACCTAGAACCTTTTCCTTAATCTAACTTTTCCTTACAATTTTTTCTTTTTTTTTTTTCAAAACCATGTTTCCTAACAAGTACCCCACTTCAACCTCGCAACTTTTCCCTCAAAACCATGTATCCTATCAAGTCTAAGCAATTTACTCTGACCTAACTTTTCCTTGCAACTTTTTCTTTTTTTTCATCAAAACAGGCTTCCTAGCAAATATCCCACTTCAACCTAGCAACTTTTCCCTCAAAACCATGTATCATAGCAAATACCCCACCTCATATTAGCAAATACCCTACTTCAACTTAACAACTTTTCCCTCAAAACCATGTATCATAGCAAATACCCCACGCCTACCATGTTTCCTAGCAAATACCCCACCGCAACCTAGCAACTTTTCCCTCAAAACCATATTTCCTAGCATATACCCCACCTCATATGTTGACCATGGCGGTCTTATCGCTTATATCAAATGATTTAGAATGGTCTGGCACATGGTGGTCCGACACTTAATCATGGAAGTCCGCAATTTGGAAGAGGCAATCCAGCATTTGTTTTTGGATTAATAAGCAGTCGGGCATTTGTGAGCTACGGTCCAGCAAAATTGAAATTTGAGTTTGAAATAGGCAATACAGCAATATACAACTGCGGTCCGATATTTCCTTTTATTGAGATCCGAAAATGATTTGTTATGTACTGAAAAGGTGTTTTCATTCATATATATATATATATATATGAAGATACTACAAAACTCCTATAAGCGAAAATGAACAATGATTTCGCCTACCCTCATCATCGTCCAAACTTCATCGCACAATCACGATTGTCCTATAGTGTTTCATTTTTCATTTTTTTTTTCTACAAATCAGAATGACTTGAAATTTGAAACGTGTGTTCATAAAAAATAGGCATATCTACAAAAAATATCAAAAAAATATTTTACATGAAATAAATTGACCAAAATACTCCCAAAAAAATTTCGGGCCATTTGGTCAATTTATTTTTTACTAATTATTTTTTATATATTTTTATTAGGTGCTCCTCATTAAGAAGTACACACACTCTAAATTTCAGATGATTCCAATTTGTGGAAAAAAATGAAAAAATGAAACACTACCATACAATCGTGAATTACACGTGATTATGATTTGTAGAAAAAAATGAAAAATGAAACACTACCGAACAATCGTGACCATACAAT